TTGCAGTTTGTCTTTCTGCTGCATGGTTCATCCACAGAATTAGATAAAAGACAATGGTCAAAACTATTTTTCCTTCATTTGAGAGTATTTAGGTCCAAAATTATGAAGATGTACATTTAAATGAAGATGGTTGTTCAGCAAAAAGCGGGGTTGCTAGCATCATCTCTTGGATTGCCTGGAGTTACGATGCACTATTTTAGTAAGATGATAACTAAAATAAGTGAAGCTGCGCATCTGAAAAATCGGATTGAATGGCATGCGTTCCATTTCATGTATCATCAGCGCAGAGCTCAACATTGATTTTTCTAATCACACGGTTTTGCTGACGATGTTTTGGAGAGACCCCCCTGGTAGTCTACCGCCTCATAGTGGCGCGAGGCTAACTCTAGGTGTCGGACTGCGAAGTTCAGCGGAGGTTTATTCTCCAGCGGGGTCTCTAAGCTGAAAAGGAGTTCGACGTCTTGGTTTCCCGGATGCCTATAAGCAAGCCATGCCAGAAGCAACATCGTCTGGCTGATTCAGTGGCTAGGTGGCTCCCTGATCCGCTAAGGTCAGCGATTGCTTGTGGTGAAAGCTTGACAGGAGCTGTCAATGCTACTATCAGGGCAAAATTCTATCTGTATAAAAGAAGCTCTGCAAAATGGACCACATCGCCGACGTCGAATGTCATCAAGGGCAGTGTCAGGTTGCACAGGATGCCATGGATATTGGACCAAAAAGAGATGTTAACGACTTGCCATGGAGATGTGTCTCATGCTCTGCTACAACGCGGACAGTCTCCAGCAACGCTATCTTTACGATCTTCTTGAAACTGCAAGACACAAAGATACCGCGTACTTGCCTTGCAGGAGATGAAGTCTAGAAAGACGGAAGTAAGGCAGCTGCATAATAGCACACTCATCATTCGTGGTGAAAAGGTTCCATCACGGAACGTTGGAGGGGTTGGATTTGTCGTACACCCATCTCATCTTTTCGCATAAGATCCTATCACCTCGCCTGGCTATCCTTCGACTCCGTCCTCTGCATCAGAAGGCCATCACCATCATCAACTGATATTCTCCAACATAAGCAGTTGATGATTCGGAACTTGATGCTTTTTATGAGGATCTGGCGGAAGATTCGCAAAAAAAACTCCTTCTATAAGTTCGTTGTGGATGCCTTCAATGCAAAAATCGATTCCACAAGAAGGGGAGCACAGGATCGGGAGATTTGGATCAGGACTCTGAAATGAAATTGGTAACCGTCTTCTTGGGCTCTTATCCGCCGCACGACTTTTTCATGGCAACTCCATCTCCATGAAGAAAGAACACCGGTGGTGGACAGTGTCACAAAGGTACGACTTATGCGGAGACTGACCACAATCTCACCAACCGAAGGTGGTTCTTACTAGACGTCACAGTGATACCATGCTTCAGTAGTGGCTCAGATCACCGCCTCCTTCGAGCAGAAGTGCAATTTAGCGAAAAACTGGAAAAGAAGATCTGCCACTGTGTTTGAGGAAGGAGAGAAGTCGTATATGAAGGTCAGACTGGATGAGCTTCTGACCACTTGTGAATGGTCCATCAAGGAGGACCCACAAACAAACACAAAAGATTACGACCTTTTACTTAGAGGACTGAAAGCCTGTGGTGGAAGTGCCTCAATGCCTCGCTGAAACAAATTTCGAAAGCCACCAAGGATCTGCTAGAGAGGAGAAGAGCACTGAGGCTGGATCTGATCCTGTATCACTCTTGAGCGACTGGTAGCCATACCAGTTACAGAACAGCTTCGCGAGAAGATCTTCGAAAGTGCAGGCAATCGAAACTTTTGGAAGCAGCACAAGGAAGGAGAAGTCTGAAGAAGTACAGGAGGACCTTCTCGACTATCTTGTTCCGCTGATAACAATACTGAACGAGGACGACTCGCAATCTTCCCGAAAAAAAGATAAGCTCGGAAAAAGAATCTACACCAATCTCTTTCGCTCGTCAACACCCTTGCCAAACCCCGTTATTCCTCTGCAGAAAACCACGGATTCTACCTGCTGATATACGCGCCGCGCAATCCAGACCTTGAAGGTAGCCACGGCTCCGGGTCCAGACCATGTTCAGTCGACCTCTTACGAGCTGGAGGACATCGCCTACACGAAAGATGCCTGCTCAGCGTGCTTTACAAGCTCTTTACGAAGACTCGCTCGCATATCAAGGACACTGGATGAAGCCCAGCCTGTAGAACAAGCTGTCG